CAAATACAAATCCTGTAGCAGTTCTTAGGATTTAGCAGCCCGGTATATATTACAGTTATTAAAGATGGCATATGTATATCAAGTATATATTGCACATAGTTTGACGGTATTTAACAGCAAGTTACACAATCTACAAAATACAAGATACATACCTTGTAACAGTAACAACGGTTTAGCAGCCAGGTATAAATGACACAGTTATTGACGGCATATAGATATTGATTTAGCGGCCAGGTATAAATCTAAAACATTTAAATATATCATCCTCAGTCCACTTAATGTTTTATTGAATGCGCTTTTTATGCATAAGCATCCCCTTCCCTTATTCTCATTCTGCACATACAAGTGAGTTACAGCAGATGTGTATGGATTTTATGAAAAGAGACATGATGTCATACTGAAAGTTTTCCTTTGAATGATGACTGCATGTTCATGTCATATATGATGGGCTATCTGTCTGTTATTCATTCCCACATTTATACTGTATATGTTTACGTTTGATCAATATAGTTAGAGCGACAAGAAAACAGAATGAGATGCTAGTGGTGCTGTTTGTGATGGAGATATTAAAATGGCACTGTCTTGAGATGGAGCTTCATTGAATTCATGATATTATTTTTCAGATTTCAGTCAAGCTTTGTATGCTTGTAAAAGAATAGTTGCATTATTATAATTTGATGAAGTGGAAAACTGCCTTTCACCGCTGTGTAGAAGCTTTTTAAACAAAACTACAGTAATTGTAGTAGGTGCATGATTTTTTTAAAGCAGTGCTGAGACAGAAAGACATAAGAGTATGATGGTTTGAATATCTTGGTGTTAGTTTTAGAACAATTTTAACTTTATTAAAGTTGAGACACACAGCGTGACATAGAGGTCAAACCCATTGAATATAAGTGGAACATCTGGACTTGACCTTTGTTCCGCATCTTTTAACCCTCGCTCTCTTCTTGCTTATTATCCTGTCTTTATCTTAAGTTTCATTTATTCAAAGAAAGTACAAATGTACTGAAAATGTATCTTTGAAATCACCACTCAATGAGGCTCATGCAGGCAGAACTGAAGCCGTTCAGTGGGATTATCAGGCTACCTTCTAGTTTTCTTTGCTGTTAAAACCTAGTTTCATAGTGAATTGCTATGAAATTGCACATTTTCCGATTTTAAAAGGGCAAAAAAACATGGAATAAATGATTGCAATCAGTCAGGCACAGGAAATAATGAAACCCGCTTCGTAATCGTCTCAGTTTCCAACTGTAGTCAATTGCTCTATTGTTCCATTTGATTTTCTGAAGTGATGCATTTCCTTGAGTTTGGCTATGTAATCCACTCAACAACGCTGAACCATTCATTCAAATTGTGTCTATTGATCATCGGCAATAAATGGAAACCGGGGGAAAAAATACACTTAGAGCTCCAAGCAGAATTCATTTGTTTTGCTGCGAAATGGCTCTCTTCTATCTCCAAAATGACAAAAATATTTCAAGCATAAAAATCTCTGCTTGGCAAAGCTGAACTGAAAGCATTGTTCAGCACTCATTTGGGTCAAAAAGGATGTTTTTTTAATTTGTTAAAAAGGACCGTTTAATCGGTTAAGTACGAAACTTTGTGGAGACCCTTTTGTTGTCAGACGTGTCGAGGCTGGCTTCCTTTTGGTTCCGAACTGTTTAGAGTCTTTTATATTTAAATTACTGTATTGTGTCGAGGTTCACAACGGTGTCACTGCCCTTCCTGTAACACGGTTTTCGGAGGGCAGGGGGTGGGTGGTGGTGGTGGTGTTGTCTGGCTTACCTCCAGACTAGACCCCGAAGGCGATGAACGGGTGACGAAGAAAGGTAATTAATAGGGAGGCGAGCCGGTACTCCGAGGGACAGACGGGTGTGAGAACCCGGGGCCTCAAAAGACCTACAGGTTCAAGGGAGAATTAACCAAGAGGGTGTCGTCATGTGACCTTGTTTACCAACCAAAGTCTTTGTAGTTCGCGCCCCTGGTTAAACACGAGTTAAACGACCAAAAGGGAGAGATGTGGTGCGAAAAAGAGTTATATAGTTGTTGTCTTGTTCGACAATCTCTGTCTCCTTGTAACTAACACCGTCACTCAC